CCCACAAATTTGTTAGCACCAACACCTATCCTTTTTGCTTATTGTCAGGAGAGGTATCTCTCTCCCTGTTGAAAACAAATTTCTGTAACTCTAACCCTGATCCCTAGTCTTATTCTGATACCTCTCCCCATAGAACCCTATGGGTACTATCACAGGATTCATCATACTGTACTTATCTTTTCCCTTATTAAATGTAAAGACCTTCTAGGCTCAGCCTCATACTAGTGGCTTTCCTTAGCAAAGCTACCTAACTTTCCAGGACTCAGTTGTCTCTTCTCTAAAATGGAAATGGTATAATTTTCCATAAATCCTTGCTCTAGTCATGTGACCCTATGTAATTATTTGACTTCTCTGTGCCTCAGATTCCTCATCTCTAAAATGGGAATAAAAGTGGTATGTATTGCACACTTAGAGCACATTTCAGTTTGGCCTAGCCACATTTCCAGTGCTCACTAGTCATATGATGTCAGTGGCTATCGTATTGGACAGCAGAAGTACAAAAATAGTAGGTACTCAATAAATGTTTTGCCCCCAAGAATATTGAAGTAAGCCCAGCCTGTGTGGCTCAGTGGTTGAGCATCGACCTATGAACCAGGAGGTCACAGTTCAATTCCTGGTGAGGGCACATGCCTGGGTAGCAGACTCCACCTCTACTGGAGAGCGTGCAGGAGGCAGCTGATCTCTCTCATCATTGACATTTCTCTCTCTCTCTCTCTCCCTCTCCTTTCCTCTCTGAAATTAATAAAAATATATTTTAAAACAAAAAAAATATTGAAGTAAGGCCCTGGCCAGGTAGCTTAGTTTGTTAGAGCATTGTCCCAATATGCCAAGGGCACATACAAGAATCAACCAATGAGTGCATACATAAGTGGAACAACAAATTGATGTCTTTCTCTCTGTCTCAAAATCAAGTAAAATAAGAATATTGAAGTAAGAAAAAAAAGAAGTTTCAGACTCTCAGAACCAGAAAGAAATACTTTACATAGTCTTCTAACATTTCTTTCTTTTACATTTTAACATTTCTGAAAATAGGACTAATCCTGTCATCAATATTATGTGACAGTATTAATGGTAGAATTCTTTCATAGTGGTCCGTAAGATAATGATGCATCTTACAACTGAAGGTATCTTGGAGTTCATGAAATACTATATCTATATATAAGTCACCTAGTGCCTGGCATATAATCCTCACGAGTTAACTATTATGTCTTATTTATATTTGTATTTGAAATACTAGTTAAATACCTGGCATTTAATATATTCCTTCCAAACTATCTCCTTCTCACAAATTTCCTTTCAGTATCAAAGCTACCATCATTGAGTCATGCTGACTTAAAAACACAGATCTTTATTTCTTGACCCTTCCCTTAATCCAATTTAAGTACCAGCTCATGTCAATTCTTCCTTTATAATTTTCCCTAAAATACATCCTTTCAATTTTTTTATTCTCACTGCCACCACCATGGTCTAGGACAGAGAGTCTCAAACTTTTTGGTCTCATATTTACATTCTTAAAAAATTAGAGACTCCCTTCCCCAAAAGCTTTCATTTATATGGATATCTATCAATATTCATTATATTAGAAACTTTAAAATGTTTATTATTCATGAAAAATAATAAACCCAATACATGCTAACATAAATGACATTTTGTGAAAAAGAACTATTTTTTCCCAACAAAAAATTGACTAGAGTGGCATAGACTTACATTTCTATTTCTTCACTGTTTCGGACTTAATAGAATACAGTTAGATTCTCTGCTTCTTCCTTGAACATGTTAAGATATGCTGTCTATTTTGACTATTGCCAGATAAGAGGGGGTGAGGGAGATGGGTGAACAAGGTGAAGGAATTTAGAAGTACAAATTGGTAGTTACAGAACAGTCATGAAGATGTGAAGTACAGCATAGGGAATATAGTCAATAATATTGTAATAACTATGTATGGTGTCAGATGTGTACTAGATTTATTGGTGTGATCACTTAGTAACATATAAAATATTGGATGTCATCTGTAATTGAAAAATAAAAAATTATTAAAGTTTAAAAAGCCATGTTGTTCTGATTGAAGTACATGAAGAAAACCTAGCCTCACACAGATATGTAGTTAGAAAAGAAAGGAGTATTTTAATAGCCTTTTCAGAAAATCGTGAATATTAGTCTTTGGTACTATACAAAAACTTGATTAAGAAGTAGTTTCTTAAAGGTTAGTGGCTATGTGGATTCTGAAACCTTATCAATGAACATTTACTCTGTTCCATTAAAATTCATTGATATATCTTGCATTTTGAATGAATTTTTAATACATGCATGATTTTATATCATCTAGAATATATTGGTTCACTGAGTTCCAATACTGACACATTTAATTACACAATATCTAAAAATCACATTCATAACAAACTGACATACGTCGATGTGGGGTTGGGGGGATGAGAAGAGAATTTATTTACTTATATGCATAGCCCATGGACACGGGCAACAGGGTAGTGAAGACCTGGGGAGGGTGTGAGGGCTGAAGGAAGGGGAAAAGGAGGGGAGAAATGGGAGATATCTGTAATACTATCAACAATAAAAACAAATTTAAAGTTTAAAAAAATAAAAATCATATTCATGTCCTGGCTGGTGTTGCTAAATGGTTAAAGCATTGACTAACACACCGAAGGGTTGCAGGTTCGATCCCCAGCCAGGTGGCACAAGAGGCAACCAATCAGTCTGTCTCTCTCACATCAATGTTTCTCTCTCTCCTCCCCCTCCCTCTCTTCCACTCTCTCTAAAAAAAACAAAAATCAATGAAAAAAAATACCCTTAGGTGAGGATTAACAACAACAAAAATGTTTAACAAATAAAAATCACATTCATTAATACTGCAACTACCAATCTCATCTGAAACGTCTTTAAGTCTTTTTTAAAATACATTTTTATTGATTTCAGAGAGGAAGGGAGACAGAGAGAAACATCAATGATGACAGAGAATCATTGATTAGCTGCCTCTTGCACGCCCCCTACTGGGGGTTGAGCCCACAACATGGGCATGTGCTCTTAACTGGAATCGAACCCGTGACCCTTCAGTCCACAGGCTGATGCTCTATTCACTGAACCAAACCAGCTAGGGCTCTCTAAGTCTTTATGTAAGTTGTAAAGTTTACAATGGCAGATACAAATTTTCTAAACTTATAATTTTTACTTGAAAGCTCAAATTTTACCATTGGCAACAAATATTGCCATTTGTTTTCTTTGAAATGACAGTCTCACCATCTGCCAAATGCCCATGTCTGAATAACCATAGTTTATATGTCATTCTTTCAATTTAAAATGGTATTTCATGAAAAAAGGCTAATAGTTTAGCTCACAACTCAATCATACAAGTGCTTCTCCTCAAAACACCTATTGTACTTTAGTATGCAGAAGAGGTTTATTTGTGCTTTCCATTTCATCACACAGAATATTGAAGACATATTTTAAAGGTTGAAATTTAATAAAACTAATGAGTTAATTTTTACTACTTCATTTGGGACATGCTTAAGTGAAACTAGCATTCTTGTTTTTTTCTGCAGTGAAGAATACAATGACCACTAGTAGAGCTTGGCTCCACTGTCCTGATTTGGGCTAAGGCACCAGCAGTTTTAACCACCATTGCTTTAGCACCATCAGTGCAAATGCAAACACAGTGAAAATAGCACATAACATCTTGATATTGCTATGAAAATAATTTTCAGGAGGTCTGAAAGGTCGCAAGGAGCCTCAAAGAGACCACAAAACATTTAAGAATCGCCAGTCTACAACTTCGTCATGTTGTACCTGGATTACCACATTAGTCCCCTAAATAGTTTTCCTAACTCTAGCCTCCCTCCTAATTCATACTGTTTGGCATAACTAGATACAGCTTCCTACAATGTTCCTTTCAACATGTTCTGCCCAAACTGTTTCAATGATTTCCCCAATGGATAGAGGATAAAGTTCAATTCCTTAGCATCACATTCAGAAACCTCTACAATCTCTCCTCACTCAACTTTTCAAGCCTTACAACCCACCACCGCTTCACACCAACTGTAAATCAGTCTACTTAAGGTCTCCTACCTTACTTAGACACAATCTACACATCTCACAACTTTGCTTGAAATAGTCCTGTCAAACATCATTTCTTTTTATCAAATCTCAAATCCTATTCAATCTTCAAGGCACAGCTCAATACCCAAACCCTTTATAATGCTTTGTCTAATCACTTTGGTTTAGTTTTCTCTGCCTTCCAGGAAATATCACATCAATTATTCTCCTCACACTATTATATACTGTCTTTGATAATTTAATTCTTGAGTTATTTAACTTTATGTGCTTTCCTTAATCCCCCAAATGGATTATAAATCCCTGGAATACAGAAACCATCTGCTAAACTTTGAATCTTCTGCACTGCCTAGTTCAATGCAATGAACACAGTAGAAATGTCAATTTTTAAAAATTAGAGGAATTGGTTAGATGAATGGTTCACATGGTCTTTGAAGTCTTCCAGGTGGACAGTAGATTGTTTTCTTAGAATTATTCATGTTTTCAATGGGAGTAATTATGCTAATTAAACAAAATCAGTCTACTGGCATCTCATGAAAAGCAACCCTCTCCTTCTCATTAATTCTGATGAAGATTTTGCAGTGTTAATCAAGAAAATGTAGAATAAATGACCCAAAGGACACCATGTAAGTGGTTTAAAAGGGAAAAGATAGCAATCACTGCTCTCGGTCAGCAAAGAGACTCCAATGCGGAGTTAATTATATTTGTAACGTTGTATTTCCTTGAAAGAAGATATAAAGCAAATACAGTAAAAAAATTATATTTGTTAATCTGAGACAGGTGCAAGGGTGTAATGTTATTCTTTATACTTTTCTATGTTTGCTATCTTTTCAAATAAGGAAAAACACATTGTGTGGCACTCTGAAGCACATGTGGTACGTCAATATACAAGCACATACCATTTGATTGATGCATGATGCTCTTCAATTTTTACTTACCAGTGCATCATCTTGCAATGAAGCAAAAAAGAAGCCATAGAGCAAGTTAATTTTCTCCTTGTGATCAATGAAGTCAAACATTGCAACCAGCCAACGATAAAAAAGTACCTATTGAGAGACAAATGCTTATCTTTAGAGAAATATAAGTGGCACAGAAGAACTTAATTCCCCCCTCAGGGCTGTTTTAGAAGCCTCTAGCACAAAGCCAGTTGGTAGATTTTATCCCTAAGTAAAAATTTCTGTTTGAACAGAGTCCTTGCATCAAGCTATATTGTTCCAAAACCACAGGCTTTGCACAAAAGGCCAGTACCATTACTCCATAAGTGGCTCGTCCTTGCCAACCCTTACCTTGGCTGCACATTAGAATCACCTGGGAATCTTTTTAAAATCCTGATTTCTGGGCCTCATCCTCCAGAAATTGTTTCTTTGTTACTAATGTTGTGGCCTCACCCCATAACAAAGAAACAGAATTTCCGGAGGATGAGGCCCAGAAATCAGGATTTTAAAAAAGATTCCCAAGTGATTCTAATGTGCAGCCAAGGTTGAGAACCACTGCCTTAAGTGGTTCTGAAGGACTTATTTTCAAAGTGATTAAAAAGATTACCTTGGTGCTACCACAACACTTGCCAACGCAAAGCCAGGAGACCGCCTTAACCACAGAATCCTCTGATATTAGAGTTGCTGGAATCATGCATCTCAATAGCCGAGAGTTTACAGCACTCCCTGGAAAGCAGACAAACTCTAAATTAAACTTAATTTTAGTATCTTGATACTTTACTTACTCACTCTTGGTCCTAAAAATCTCACTTTATAATGAACGCAATAAAAAACATGAATAATATTTGACATCTCTTATTATCATTACAAAATACAGTTCAAAAAAATGTACCTTTACCTTCTAATATATAGCCCGGTGGACGAAATTCGTGCACATTAAAAGGGAATTAATTGCCCTAACTGGTTTGGCTCAGTGGATAGAGCATCGGCCTGAGGACTCAAGGGTCCCAGGTTCAATTCCGGTCAAGGGCATGTACCTTGGTTGCGGGCACATCCCCAGTGGGGGGTGTGCAGGAGGCAGCTGATCGATGTTTCTCTCTCATCGATGTTTCTAACTCTCTATCCCTCTCCCTTCCTCTCTGTAAAAAAAATCAATAAAATATATTTTTTTAAAGGGGAATTAATTAGCAGAGATATTTTAACATATAGAGAAATGCGGCACATTTCTCTATAATAGAAATGTGAGAGATGAAAGGAAATTAGTAAAATGTATATGAAAATAATATATAAATTTATTAATAAACAGTAACAAAAGGATATAACAACAGAGGCATGATATAAAAACAACAAAAACATGATATGAAAACAACAAAAACATGATATAAAAACAAGTGATGCAAACAATGACTGATAAAGTGATTAAACTTATTCTAATATCTCCCTGTACACCACATTAAGAGTGAAAACACTTTCAGAGCGCTTGACTAATTTCCCTTGTGATGAAGTACTTAGAACTTTAACTGTAACATCACATGCTCTTCAAACTCGAGAGAAAGCAACATATAACTGACCATGTGCAAAAACGGGTTCAGGTAGGAACATGCCTACTGTCTAGAGTTTGTCCTTGTGATTTATTAATAGTCATCACAAATGCTGGCATCACGGGAAACTGTCGTCGAATCAATTTAAATGGGAGGCCAGTGTCAGATGGGGACAAATTAATTCTTGGAATCAGAACAGCCTCTCCCTCTGCAGATCCTGTTAATACTTCAGCTTCGATAATGTTAGGTCGTAATCTTTTGATAATAAATCTGGTACCATTACAAAGACCCCATTTACTATTGAGATTTCTCAATAGCATGATGATTGCACCCACTTTCAATTTTAATTTATGACACGGCATTCCCGAAGGAGTAACACTATTCAGAAATTCAATGGGGACATTTTCCTTTGTTTCTTTGTTATGGGGTGGGGCCACAACATCAGTAACAAAGAAACAGAATTAAAACTTTTTTAAATAATTTTTTATATATATTTTATTGATTTTTTTACATAGAGGAAGGGAGAGGGATAGAGAGTTAGAAACATCGATGAGAGAGAAACATCGATCAGCTGCCTCCTGCACATCCCCCACTGGGGATGTGCCCGCAACCAAGGTACATGCCCTTGACTGGAATCGAACCTGGGACCCTTCAGTCCACAGGCCGACGCTCTATCCACTGAGCCAAACCGGTTAGGGCCAGAATTAAAACTTTATTGTGGGAGCCGCTACAGTGTTTTGGACAGGTTCAAGCCTTGGACTGATGAGAGGGCACAGTCCTCTCATTACCACGTGCAAGTCCCAGCTTGGAGGGCAGGGCCCTCCCAGCACAATTATAGCCAACAGCTGTAGTTGTAAGCTTGAACCTATGGTCTGAACACGTGGCCCCATGTGCCTGAGTGATGTGGGCTTGATAGAGTTCAGGTGCATGTAGTTGAGTAGGATTGAAACCCAGGAGAATGTTTGTAAATATCTTGGTCACGCCCTTACTTTGCCTCGTAGCATCTGCTATAAAATAAAGGTGTGGCTGTGGGCGTGGTCTCTGTCTCTCAGAGAAGCAGCATCCCATCAAAACGCAGCTTTCATTCTCTTGTCTGTCTTTTCTAAGCCTTTCAAGCCGCCCCACTCAGGTTCACCCAGTGCTGGTGCAGCACACTTTAGAAAGATCTGCCTCCATGCTCCCAGGGCGGGTTCCTGCCTCAAACCCCGCCCTTACAGGAAACAGCTCCGGGAAACAGCTTGGGGGAGGGTGCAGCCGTTGCCAAGACAACCCCTGTAGGACTGACTTCCTTCCGCTCAGTCTCGGCTGTTCATCTGTATGTGATGAACACCACCCATGGTTTTTATATAAGTAGATTATAAAGCAAATTCTTTGGTTCTAATGTTTCTATTTGAAAAGGGAGGATGAGTTCAGGGTTTCTTTTGGGGGTGACGATATGTTTGGCAATTAGAGAGTGGTGATGGTTGCACAAATCTGTGAATGTGGGTTTTGTTTTTTGTTTGTTTGTTTGTTTTTTTTAAAAAATACAACCACCAGGAATTGGATGCTTCAAAAGTGTGAATTTTATGGTATGTGAATTATATCTCAAAAAAGTACTCATCAGAAAATTTCAAGGATTATTCTTTTGTTATTATTTTTAATGACACAATAGACTCTGGTTTATTTAAAGCTACTGACAGGCATCTTACATGGGCTGCTACATTTAAGAATAAATAAATATATTTGTATACTCCACCCCCCCCCCCAAAAAAAGTGGAGAGGATAGCAGAATGAACAGCTATCCTTGGAATTAGATGGCAGTAATATTCTAAACTGGTCCAATTTTTCCATAATACACTCTGGCTTCCATGATATCCTCCCATCTGGCAAGAGAAGTGATTTTGCAAAAAGCTTTGTATACACCCCATATTAAATTCTGCTTATTAAGGCTTTAAGAATTAAATAGGTATCTCATTAATTTCTTCTTTTGTATTTAAACACTGTTTTATTCACATTCTTGTGTGGTGAGCATAATGATTCAGTGAAAAAACACTGTTCTCAACTTCTCAAGCAAGTAGAATTCTCAAAAACATCTTGGATGAATGTGTCTTTAACCACTGTTTTAAATGCCTTAAAGTTTGGCAATCACCTTCATTCACTATAATAACACTGTTCTCATCTTCTCCCACAAGTAGCATTCTTAGAAATATCTTACATATGTCTTTAAACAATTTTATATGCATTATAGCATGGTGATCACATCCATTCACTGAAATAAGGCTGTTCTTTACTTCACTTGCAAGTAGCATTCTCAGAAACATCTTATACATGTGTCTTTTTTCCCTGAGGGTGAAGACCTCTATTTATTTTTTTAAATAAAAATTGTATATATTTAATATGTATGACATGATAATATGATATATATACATAGTGAAATAACAACTAGTCAGGCTAATTAACATATTATCTCCTCACACAGCTACCATTTGTTTGTGTGTGGTAAGAGCACCTAAAATCTACTCTTAGCAAATTTCAAGTGTTCAATACAGTATTATTAACTACTAGAGGCCCAGTGCACAAAATTTGTGCATGGGCGGGGGGTCCCCTCAGCCCAGCCTGCACCCTCTCCAATCCAGGACCCCTCGGGGGATGTCCAACTGTCAGACATCCCTCTCACAATCCTGGACCACTGGCTTCTAATCGCACACCTGCCTGCCTGCTTGGTTGCCCCTCACTGCTCCCTCTGCCAGCCTGGTTGCCCCTCAATGCTCCCCCTGCCAGCCTGGTTGCCCCTCACTGCTCCCCCTGCCAGCCTAATCACCCCCAACTGCCCCCCCTGCTGGCCTGGTCACCCCACACAGCCTGCTTGTTCAGTCGTTTGGTCATCCCTCACTAACCCCCCAGCCAGCCTGGTCATAGGCAGTCATCTTGTGAGGGCATGGGGGTTAATTTGCATATTACCTCTTTATTATATAGTATAGTCATCATGTAGTACATTAGATTTCTAGATTTATTCATCCTAATTGCAATAATACATTTCTATCAATTTCTACCACATCATTCTGTGGAGAAGGAAGCAGTGATGGCAGATAATGAATCACAAGAATAAAAACCTGCTTTCCACTCTGTGTTTCCTTGTTTTTATTTCTCTTTTTTCCCTCACTCCCATCCCCTAACCCTTCTAAAATTTAAAACAGTCTAACCACTAACACTTTACGCATGTACCAAATTCAAAGGGGTTATTCATTACAGACTATTCTTACATCCCAATGACTTTGAAATTAATTTCTAGAGTCTAAAATTAAAGTCTCTTTGCCATAAATACAATTATGGCATTTGTATCACACCTGTCCCTGAATACACATTACAACTGAGCAAAAGAGCTACATGTAAAGATCTAACAGTGATGGGGGATATCATAGATATAACTAAAAGGGGAAAAAGCAGTTAAGGAAGCCACATTTGACATCACAAAATTCCAGGTTAACAAAAAAAAGTTAGACTAAAAAGCTAGAGATTGTTTTTTCCAATCATATATAGCCCAGCTGGTGTGGCTCAGTGGTTGAGCGTCAACCTATGATCTAGGAGGTCACAGTTCAATTCCCCGTCGGGGCACATGCCCAGGTTGCAGCCTCGATCCCTAGTGTGGAGGAGGCAGCCAATCAATGATTCTCTCATCATTGATATTTCTATCTCTCTCTTCCTCTCTGAAATCAGTAAAAATATATTTAAAAAAATAAATAATATATAAAAGTTTCTAAGTCTGTGGCATGCATTTTGAAAGAGGCATGCATTTGCCATAAGGCCTGGCAAATGTCATAAAAGCCTTCTAAGCATTAATTTCTGATATATCAAAAAAGAAAAGAGAAATTTCAAAATAGAAAATATCTGTACATTCTATATATGTTTTAAGGGCAGAAGGTAGAGAGAGATTTTTTCTTGACAGACACTAATCAGTTAACCACAGATTCATGGAAAGATATTAGAACCAACAATCTGAAGCCACTTACGAGAAAAAGAGCCAATTTATTTTTTCAAAATCTTTTTTTAAAGAGATATTTTTAATATATATTTTTATGGATTTCAGAGAGGAAGGGAGAGGGAGAGAGAGATAGAAGAGATAGAAACATCAGTGATGAGAGAGAATCACCAATTGGCTGCCTCCTGCATGCTCCCCACGGGGGACCGAGCCCGCCACCGGGCATATACCCTAACCAGGAATTGAACCATGACCTCCTGGTTCATAGGTTGACGCTCAACCACTGAGCCACGCCAGCTGGGCTAAGAGACAATTTTATTAGGTCAAATTCAACTTTCTAGGAAAACACAGAGAACTAATCAAGTAAAAGCCAAGAACTGAAATACCTGGGAGTCATATATTGAATTCAGCTAGTAATATGTTGTTGCTTTACAATACACACACATACACACACCCTTGTAAGCATGATGCTAGTGTATACACAAAGGACTACAATATGCAAGGGCCAGGAAATAGAATAAAAAGTATCCAGTTTGGATAGTGGTCTTAATTCTCAAAAACAAAACAAAACAAAAAAACAGGTAGAAAAACCGATAGCAATAACCCTAGAAGGTAAGTTAGGAGGTCTGAATTCTCCAGTGATAGCTCTGACATTTAAGCAAATCTCTATAATGACTCTGGGCCTCAATTTCCTCACCTTTAAAATGAAGATGTACAGGGTCTAAAATACCTTCCAAGTCTAAATGTAAATGAGAGTAGGTTAAAACATTTTTCTCAAATAAAAAGAATACTGGGAAGATGTTATTTCTTTCTAAGAACCCCACTCCCACGTCCATTCCAAATGAACTTAGAACAGGAAAGGAAGCATTTATAAAAAATTTAAAAAAGCATCTTGACTGCTAAGGTCATAGATGCTGGAATGGAAATAGCACCAACAGGGACTTGTCATAGATAAGTGAACCCAAAGGCAATGAAGTAGACCATATTATCTTTTAAGGTGCCTTCCAGCAACATTTAAATTATATGTATTCTTCTTAAGAGAAATACTGAAAATGGCTCCCATGTATTTGGTAAGAAGAGTCTATACATTTTACTTGTAAAGTTATGTGATAACTAGACATTTCAACATATGTACATAGAAACTTTTGGTTCATAGGGTTATTTGAATGTAAGAAATTACAATTTTTATTTTATGAAGAGAATAGTAAAAAAAAAAAAAAAAAAAAAAAAAAAGAACTGCAACTGATTCCAAAGAACAACCTAATTCAAAGTCTGGGAGGCAAAACTAACAGCAAACTCATTTATCCTCTTGACATACCAAATTTGCCACTGAGTGCCACATTTAATAGGATGTCAATTTCTTCTGGAGCTAACCCATTCTTCCAAGCCACACTTTCCACAGTTTTCAAGTGTTTTTCCAAGGTTTTATCTTTACTCCGTGAAGTTTTAAAGGGACCTAGAAAAAGGAACCATATTAAATAGTGGGGCCTTTAAAATTCTTTCAGTCTCTAGCCTCAATAATTACAATTTGGGATACTTTAAAGAAGTAGTTCTCAACCTTCCTAATGCCGCAACCCTTTAATACAGTTCCTCATGTTGTGGTGACCCCCAATTTCATTGTTACAAATTGAACATAATTAAAGCATAGTGATTAATCACAAAAACAACATCTAATTATATATGTGTTTTCCGATGGTCTTAGGCGACCCCTGTGAAAGGGTCGTTCAACCCCCAAAGGGGTCGCAACCCACAGGTTTAACAGCTGCTTTAAAGGAATAGCTTTATGCATAAAATATCTTCCTAAAAGTCCTTCAAAGCTTTTCAAACTCTAGAATATTTTTTTTGCAAGGCAAATATCTTTACTCCTGCAGGAGAATGTACACACACATGCACATTGAGCAGGTGTCTGCTAGGGCTTTTGTTCCTGTCCTTCACTCTTGATTGGAAGAGCTTAGGCACCCAGTCTTGCATGATGGGCTAATTTAAAGGGGTTGACCTTTGCCATTTCAAAATGGTGGCCTCCAGAGGAGCTGCAAGCCACTGAGCTAAAGTGGTGGCTGCCTAAACTCCCTTCTTTGACAGAAAAGATTACTTGTTTATTCTCACAATTCCCCGTTTTCTTATTTAACTCTTTTCTTCAAACTCTGCTAACATTCATTGATTTTCATGATCTGCAGTGTCTAGAAGATTATTTTGCTGTTTGGTCAATGAGGTTTCAATTAACCTTTAGATAAGACCTCTCATACATGAGAGATAATATAACATCCCACCTCTGTCATTCCCTTCCATTCTCTGAACCATTGCTAAATTGGAGAAAGCATCCTCAATTTAAGAATTCTCAGCTAACTCAAAGCTGTCAATCCCTGTGGGGCCTCAGTGACAGTTCTGTTTGGCTGTGTTGTCAGAGATGAATGTATAACATTAACCCCCAAAATTACACATATTAATGCCAACCTATTCTCCCATGTCACCCTGTGGGTGGCATCTAGCTGTTCACTATCCCTTTAACTGCATCTCGAGTATAGTTAACAAGCCTTTGCTGGTTACAGTAAATATAATTAATCCAATCCACATTCTTGTTTAGAGTGGGCCACCAGAACAGGACAGATTCTAACCCTGCAGCAATCTGATCTGTGTGTACATGGGGATCAAAGGAGCCCTTGGACTCTCTCTCTTCTTCCTAGTCTGTCTGTCCATTGAAAAAGGTTTACGATATGCCAAAGTGGAAGGGACACCCAATTGTATCAGAGCGCAAGTTCCACTCCATTTGCTGGGCAAGCCCAAGTCAGGGTCCCCCATAACACCACCAGACATCAGCACGGGGTATTGACAGTGCACCATGACTGGCTTCTGAGGATACTCAGCCATTTACACATCTGGATAAATTTCCCATAAACTCCAAGTACTGTTCCCCCCACACCTTGAGAGGCAGGAGCTATAGTTTACATCGGAGAATGGGGACCAGATTGTTTTGGGGACCCTTGCTCTTTACCTCAACAAGGAGAGAGTTTTACAGGAAGCGTTTCCCCAGGCGATTTCCTCCTGACACAGGGCAAGCACACATTCCATCTGGTTACTGTCTGAGGTCCATCCGAATGAAAATGGGACCACTTGGGCCTCTAGCCTTCCTGCCACGCAAGCGTAACAGTCGCTTTTATTTAGGGCGCGTACAGAATATTTAATCCATTCCACCCAGGCATTCGCTCCCTTATATCCTACTTCTATTTGCATGGTGGTGGCAGTGGCCTAAGGGATCAAACTCTAGAATATTTAACAGCAACAGCACCTTCAGTAAGGAAAACTAAATCATGCCTTGGCATCTCTGCTCTAAACCAGGGGTGGGCAAACTTTTTGACTCGAGGGCCACAATGGGTTCTTAAACTGGACCGGAGGGCCGGAACAAAAGCATGGATGGAGTGTTTGTGTGAACTAATATAAATTCAAAGTAAACATCATTACATAAAAGGGTACGGTCTTTTTTTTTTTTTTTAGTTTTATTCATTTCAAACGGGCCGGATTCGGCCGGCGGGCCGTAGTTGCTCACGGCTGCTCTAAACTAACTATATCCAAAAATGTAGCAATAGTTTTTGGCAAAAAAGTTATTAAAAAAAATTTTTTATACAAAAATGCCTTTTAAAAAAACTGTTTCTTTCCAGATTTGGGCAATTTGGTTTGCTTTATGGGCCTACTGGTGGGGGGAAAAAACGTAAGTTTTTTTTACCGATAGAACACCCACATGTTTTATTTTTTACCCAAACTTGCAGGGGTTTTAAAAAATTATTAAATTTGGACAGGAACTTTT